AGGGCCTGGACGGATTGTTGTCATTGATGGGAAAATGAATTCCAGAGTTTATCAAGACATTTTGCAGGAAAACGTACGACCATCTGTCCGCCAACTGAAGCTCCGCAGAGGATGGGTGATGCAACAGGACAATGACCCAAAGCATACAAGTCATTCAACAAAACAATGGCTGCAACAGCACAGAATACGCCTTCTGGAGTGGCCCAGTCAGAGTCCTGACCTCAACCCGATTGAAATGCTGTGGCATGACCTTAAGAGAGCGATTCACACCAGACATCCCAAGAATATTGCTACACTGAAACAGTTTTGTGAAGAGGAGTGATCCAAAATTACTCCAGATTGTTGTGCAGGTCTGATCTGCAACTACAGGAAACGTTTGGTTGAGGTTATTGCTGCCAAAGGAGGGTCAACCAGTTATTAAGTCTAAAGGTTCACATACTTTTTCCTCCCTGCACTGTGAATGTTTACATGTTATGTGCAATTAAACCATGGCAACATCTAATGTTTGTGTAGTATTATGTTCAGCAGACTGTGTTCTTCTATTGTTGTGACTTAGATGACGTTCAGAGCACATTTTATGCCCAATTCATGCAAAACTCCACGTAATTACAAGGGGTTCACATACTTTTTCTTGCAACTGTAATGCACAAGGTTGGTGCACTTTTGTTTTTGTTCTCAGTTATGGAGAAATTATAACCTGCTTTTTCCTTGTTGATAAACACAATTTGCAAATTACACTACTATGGAGTTATGTCTTCTCCAGATCTGATGGCTGCACCTTTTAAAAGGAATTCAACACCATCCGTATCCCTATAAGCTGGCCATACACTAGCAGATTTTTGTATGAACACTTGTACAAAAATTCTCAGTATTTGATGGTTTGATGAATGTCATTCAAAAAAATACTTAAAATATTTTGTTTGCTTTTAATGTTCGATTTTAGAACAAATGGACTACCCCCCCAACAAAAACCACATACACTGTTAGAAATGAATTTGCTCGTTCCTGCTCATTCGAATTTTCTCAGCACTGTGGTCAAACATGGATTTGACCAAATTAACAGTTAAAAATATCAACCTAAATGTCCATAAAATTAAAAAAATTGCAAAAACTTTTCTAGCGTATCAGCAGCTATAATCGACAAGATACCTCATCGGAAACGAAGCTCCCACAGGAGGTGGTGCTTGTAATGTGATTTCACACTCTGCACAGTGGGGAATGCCAGTCACGCATGCAGAAGATGGACTTCTGGGCGCAAAGACCTTCTCCACTGTTGCAATTAAAAGATTTTAGAATTTAATGGCAGTTTTAGAAAATCATATCTAGTTGCAAATTTAAAGGAAACCAAAGTATAAATGTCATATCCCTTTTCCTTCAAAACAGGCTTTTTACATTCAGGCAGGAAGTTCAAAACCTGATCTCCCACCAACACCGATTGGTGGGAAGGTCCCTTTGTGGAATCCTCACCAAATCAGTTGTTACATAAGAATTGCATTTAGAAATGTCCACGTTAGCCTTCTCTCAACTGCCATTCTTAGGCTACATGTTGCTGGGGACTCCGCGGGGGTGGTTTCTAGATCATCAACTGAATGAATACAGTGGCTGTGCATGGGGGCTCTTAAGAGCCCTCCCTAAAAAGACAAGGGTGGGCTGGTACTAGGCCACACCCATCTCCTTACCTAGGCCTTGCTTAACTTAGCCAAGTACACACCCTTGAAGTTCTGACATATTATGGGGGTGGTCCTTTGACCAGTCTAGCAGAAATGTACAACCGGATACAAACATTATAAACGCAGTTAATACTAGTGGTGCACCAAAATGAAAATTCTGGTGCCGAAACCAAAAATTCAAAATGCACTTGGCTGAAACCCGAAATGAGCATTTTTAAAAAAAATTAATTTATATTTTTTGTAAAAAAATACACTTTGATTAAAAAAAAAAGAAAAAAAAAAAAACAATAATAACCCATTTTTTTGTAAAATATGAAAGAGAATGTTACAGCAAGTAAATAGTCACCCAACATGTCGCGCTTTAAAATTGTGCACGCTTGTGGAATGGTGTGAAACTGCGGTACTTAAAAATCTCCACGGGTGATGCTTTAAAAATTTCTACAGGTTAGCTGTGTAACGTTACAGAGAAGGTCTAGTGCGAGAATTATTGCTCTTGCTCCGACGTTCATGGTGATACCACACATGCCCACACCATTTACATATGTGGGCATGGCCTACGTATGCGTTCACCACTACATACGAGCACGGGGGGGGGACTTTAAACTTTTTATTTTTTAATTTTAATATTTTTTTTGTTTGTTTGTTTTTTTTTTGTGCTGTCCCTTTGAAAAAAATTGTAATCACTTTTAGTCTTATCACAAAAAATGCATGCATCCCTTGTGATAAGACTAAAATGCACGTATCCCTTGTGATAGAAATAACTAGTGACAGGTCCTCTTTATGGAGAGATATGGGGTCCATAAGACCCCACATCTCTCCTCTGCCATGTAAAACATTGGATCAAAAAAAAATATATATATTGATCTAGTGCTTTAAAAAAAATAATAATAAATTAATAAATTGTCCGGAAGTGACATCGCTCCGGTCCTCCAAAGACATAGAAATGAGTGGAGGCCATCTTTCCTTCACTCATCTCTATGCCCAGCGCCGGGATCGTTCGATGGTTTCGTAGGTAAGGTTGAGAACTACCGAGCGGTGGCCGGTGGTGGCAGCAGCAGGCGGGCGGCAGAGGTGGGCGTGGGGCGGTGGCAGCGGGAGGGCGGTGTTTTTTTCGGGCACCTGTACCTGTGCTTTTTTCATGTGGTGTGTTTGGCCAAAACGTTTCGGCCACCGTAATTTCGGTGCACCCCTAGTTAATACAACAACACACATTTTAAACAGACCGGTGTTCTTTAGTCTAGAATTCACACACATGCAGTGCAAGACAATCAACAATGGCAAGTTGACGAGCTGCATTCTTCGGAGTACACGTGTGAGCACCCAGGAATGTGCTGATACACGGGTCTGCAGGCCCAAACACGACCAGTAAACACTTCGTCACACACTGACTCGCTAATACAAGGGTACCCTGTACATAAGGACACGCTACCCTATTGTTCCTATATAAAAGGGATCTGTCACCGCACATCAGGTGGCAAAAATAAAAAAACAAGGCCTAAAGGTGCAAAACACCAAAATACGCTTAACTGGGACCTGAGGTTGGAGACCGCAAGACTGATGGGAGGTCAGGAACGTCAATACAAAGACAATAAACGCCATTAAAGGGATTGTAAACCTTCACCTTGTAAAATAACCTATTCACTTCAAAATAGTAAACAAAGGTAAAACATTTGGGTATAGATATAACAAAAGGGGGGAGGGGGAGGGGATTCATGATGGGAGTTTTTTGACACACCCTCTGCATAAGAGCTGGGGGAAACAGCAGGACACTGATCTTCCTAGTAAAAGGCTATGTGGGGGGGGGGGGGGGGAGTGGCATGTCAGGACAATTCTAATCATTGGAGGAGAGCAGAACTGACCACGCCCTGCTCTCCTGCCTAGTGTGGTCAGTTTTTAATAGGAAAGCAGAGAGACTGTCAGAAACACCAGAGATTTCACACAAAGGAAGCCATACAAAGAGAACAGGAGACTTTTTCATACAAGAACATGGTACAGCAGGCACATATCAAGAAGAGGAAATGTTGGGTTTACATCATCTTTAACCCCTTGGCGCCGGCACCTCCCGGCCCTTTAAGGGTTTCAGAAGCCAGGAGGCGGGGCGGGGTTTAGGGTCATGTGACCACCGTGACACGCCGTCACATGATCGGGAAAGGTCCTGATCGAAACAGGAGATTGGGACCTTTCCGTGAGTACCGGACATGTGCGCTGGGAGTGTGCAGGGCTCACGCTCTCAGCACGTTTTTTTTTTTTTTTTTTAATAGAATGTAGATGTGCGGCCGCTTGGCGTCTAGGCCCAGACGCCGGGAGGTCGCACATTTGCGTTCAGCCGGCGCGAAGAGGTTAAGGACAATTCTACCTTTAAACTTAAAAAATAGAGATAATTTGCAACACCTTCCCCGCACCTCCTGTCTACATATGCTGAGAATCATCCACCGCCCGTGTCTGCCGATGTACCAAATTATACACTTGTAAGCCAGAGCTGACCAATGAGCGTCTTCTCTTTTGTTTTGGAAGGATGCTCCCACTGCTCATGTGTCACGTGACTACCACAACCCGCATTATGCTGCTATACAGCCTTAGAGGTTGAGTATGGCGTTAACAAGTGTATGGATCATTACACCGGCAGACATGGGGGACAGATGATTATCAGCACATGCAGATAGGTCCAGTGGTGACCAGAGAAGCAAGTTTGGAATTTTTATACCAAAAAACAAAGAAAGGGAGGGGGGGGGGGGGTCACGAAAAGTCTGAGAGCACCAGACCAAAAGAACCAGGAGCCCAAAAGTCTTGGTATCAGCCTACAAGAAGAAGACATAAAAACAACCAACACATTCCGGGGGCTTGAAGATCTACCACTTTTTTCCTTCCCCAAGGCCAGATTGCCAAGAGAGGACCACGCCTCACCTTCGAACCATATCCAGCCCTCCTGCCTATCATCCTGATCTCACAAAAAAATACCCCAATACTTACCCTTCCTTTGACTCTAAGGCTCCATGTACACAGGACACTTCTGAACGATGGAAACGGACTGCTGGAAAACGTAGGTTAAAAAAACGTCTGTTTAGCCGCGTTTATGCGTGTTTGCGTTTAGAAGCATTTTTTTTAAAGATAAGCAGAGGAGAACCTCCCAAGTGCCCAGAATGCACTGAAAAGTGGTAAATTATGAACTATTTCAGACTGTTTCAGGGAAATACAGAGAGTAGAAGCAGAGAGAGAAGTATGTGTTGAGATTAGCTTAGGTGTGAGTTGCTCATTAACATTTCTTTTGTTTCCAAGGGTGGGAAAGGTATCTGGTGGAGGGAGTCATTAAGGTCTCCTGGCAGGGGGTCTTCATGAGGAATTTGAGGTGTGAATGGTCATTAACATATCTTTTGTTTCCAAGGGTGGGAGAGGTCTGAGGTGTGAATTGGTCATTACAATGTGTGACAAGCTTTGTAGGAACATCCTGTGTTCAGTGTTTTGTCCATTTGAGTACCTTGAAAACACTTTGCATGTATTTTTCATGATGAAAAAAGACTCTGGACAGCATCGGGAACTGGATGTCAAGATCCTACCTTTCCCCAGGGCTTGTGCTGCTCCATGTTCTGGCATCCATCTTAGGTGTCTGCAAAGCATTGTGGGATACTTTATGCTTTCAGCCCTCCGCGGCTCCTCCCACAGGAGGTGGCGGCTTATCACATATAAGTCTGCTGTTTGCAGCTGTCCATTGCATTCATGTCCTGTCTGTTGCACAGCAGCAAGCTCCTCTTTAGTTTCTCATTGCTCTCCTGGATACCGACTCGGCTTTGGCAAGACTCCTTCCTGGCTTCTGACCCCGGCTCTGGCGACCATCCTTCCTGGCTTCTGACCCCGGCTCTGGCGATCATCCTTCCTGGCTTCTGACTGCGGCTCTGGCGACCATCCTTCCTGGCTTCTGACCCTGGCGATCATCCTTCCTGGCTTCTGACCGCGGCTCTGGCGATCATCCTTCCTGGCTTCTGACCCGGCTCTGGCGATCATCCTTCCTGGCTTCTGACCCCGACTCTGGCGATCATCCTTCCTGGCTTCTGACCCCCGCTCTGGCGATCATCCTTCCTGGCTTCTGACCCCGCTCTGGCAACCATCCTTCCTGGCTTCTGACCCCGACTCTGGCGACCATCCTCCTGGCTTCTGACCCCCCTGCTCTGGCGACCATCCTTCCTGGCTTCTGACCCCGGCTCTGGCAACCATCCTTCCTGGCTTCTGACCCCGGCTCTGGCAACCATCCTTCCTGGCTTCTGACCCCGACTCTGGCGACCATCCTCCTGGCTTCTGACCCCGGCTCTGGCGATCATCCTTCCTGGCTTCTGACCCAGACTCTGGCGATCATCCTTCCTGGCTTCTGACCCAGACTCTGGCGATCATCCTTCTAGCTTCTGACCCCGCTCTGGCGACCATCCTTCCTGGCTACTGTTCTACCAAGTCATCCGCTGTTGCTGTTGGACTTGCATAGACTCTGTCTTGCTTTTGTATAATAAACTTACCTTTAATTGCACCTCCTTGTGTGTCTGGCTCCTCGCTCCCTGACACTGGAAGAGTTAAAAAAAAGGTTCAAATGCAAACGCTTATAAATGCGTTTACAAGCATTTTGCATTTGAAACGCTGATAAAAATCAACTGCTGAACGCAAGTTTTCTGCGTTCAAAAAGATGACTGTACTCAACTGCCTGTAAACGACGATGTGTACATGGACACATAGGAGAACATTAGGGAGAGTTCAGGGGCTGCTGAAAAAAACGCAGAACAGTTCCTAAACGTGCGTTTATCAGCTGCAGTGTACATGGAGCCCTTAGACAAGACTTCTACTACTACTTCTTCACCACTACTCCTCTCCGGTCTATCACCCTTTGCTCACTTATCTACACCGTGCCACTCTTGTTCTACTGTTTTTAGAAATCGGCCATATGCATGCCGTTAGTGGGGCAATGCCGTCGGCCATTTTTTGTGGACCTTCTCGTTTCTTTTTATCGGTCATGCTGGAAAAGCCACAAAAAATGTCCATTTTTCATAGACATTGGTGGCAGCATCAGCAACGACCGATTTTTTCGTTTATCGGCTGATAAACGGCCCGTCTATGGCCTGCACAAGTCCTCATGCACACGGGACTTTTTTACAGCGGCTGTTTTTGGCTTTTGACATTTTTTTCTACAGCCAGTAAACCCCCCCCAGCATGTTCTTCTTTGTGTCCATACAAACATAGACTGGAATCAACGTTTTTTTTTTGGCAGGGATGTTTTTTGGCTGGAAAAAAAACCCCAGAACTAGTGGGTTTCTAGAGGAGTTTTTTAGCTGTAAAAATGCTCTGATGACGGTAAATAGCGTTTTTGAACTTTGACCAAAAAAAAATTTTTTTTATTGTGGTAAAAAACTGCAAATGCAAAAAAAGAGGCAAAATGCCGCTAAACACTAATACAAAATATGGCAAATCGCAGTTAACCAGCGTTTTTGGACTTTTTTTAATCTAAAAAAAAAGCTACAAAACGCAAAACGCAAAAAAAAAGCTAATACAAAAAGGCTAAAAAAAACTCAGGTTTTCAACGTGACTTTACACAGCTAATGTTACCAGCGTTAATAAAACGCCCCGTGTGCATGGAGCCTAAATAAAAAGAATTTCTAAATAAAAAGCAAACAAGAAAGATCTCCCACTTCTTCCAGGCTATAAAACAAGATCATGTAGAAAGAAAACCATCACTGTTGGACTCATGTATAACATACTGTATATTATTTGAATTGTATTGTCAAATTTGCATTGATATATACAGTTGTGTTCAAAATAATAGCAGTGTGTTGAAAAAAGTGAATAAAGCTGAAAATCCTTCTAATACCTTTTATTTCCATCCACACAAATGCATTGGGAACACGACACATTCTATTCCAAATCACAACATGAAGAAAAATACATCAAATTTGTGTTGTTCCTCTAAAAAAAATGGAAGAAAAGTGAATATTAGACGGTTCAAAAAAAAATCGCAGTGTTTGTATTCTTCTTTACAATCTCAAACATTCACTATATAAACTGAGAAATGTTTGAAGATTTTGCTTTCCTTTGAATGACTTCATGAATATTTGGTTGTAGTCGCACTGTTTCTGAGAACTGCTGTACATCTGTGTTGCATGGAGTCACCCAACATCTGGCCCCTGTGATCAGGTATTCCAGCCCAGGATGATTGGACCACATTCCACAGTTCTTCTCTATTTCTTGGTTTTGCCTCAGAAACGGCATTTTTGATGTCACCCCACAAGTTTTATATTGGATTAAGATCCGGGGATTGGGCTGGCCACTCCATAACGTCCATCTTGTTGGTCTGGAACCAAGATGTTGCACGTTTACTGGTGTGTTTGGGGTCGTTGTCTTGTTGGAACACCCATTTCAAGGGCATTTCCTCTTCAGCATAAGGCAGCATGACCTCCAAGTATTCTGACAAATTCAAACTGATCCATGATCCCTGGTATGCGATAAATAGGCCCAACACCGTAGTATGAGAAACATCCCCATATCATGATGCTTGCACCACCATGCTTCACAGTCTTCACAGTGTACTGTGGCTGAATTCAGTGTTTGGGGGTCGTCTGACAAACTGTCTCCGGCCACTAGACCCAAAAAGAACAATCTTACTTTCATCAGTCCACAAAATGTTGCGCCATTTCTCTTTAGGCCGGTCAATGTGCTCTTTGGCAAATTGTAACCTCTTCAGCACACGTCTTTTTCCCAACAGTGGGACTTTGCGGGGGCTTCTTGCAGATAGCTTGGCTTCACATAGGCGTCTTCTAATTGTAACAGTCCTCACAGGGAACGTCACACCTTCTTTCATCTTCCTGGAGCTGATTGTTGGCTGAGTCCGCCCCATTTTGGCTATTCTTCTATCCATTCCAATGGTAGTTTTTCGCTTTCTTCCACATCTTTCAGGTTTTGGTTGCCATTTTAAAGCATTTGTGATCATTTTAGCTGAGCAGCCGATCATTTTCTGCACTTCTTTATATGTTTTTCCCTCTCCAATCAACTTTTTAATCAAGGTACGCTGTTCTTCTGAACAATGTCTGGAACGACCCATTTTCCTCAGAATTTCAGAGAGAAATGCACTGTAACCAGCATGTACAACATTTGCTGCCTTCCTTCCTTAAATAAGGGCAATAATTGCCACCTGTTTTTCAAAGAATGAATGACCTCACTAATAGAACTCCACACGCTATTATTTTGAACACGCCCCTTTCAATGAGTGATTCAATGACACAGAATCAGCAGCATGCATGTCATGACTGTTGGGTCTGTTGGATTTCTATTACTCTACTACACCTGCTAGGAAATTATTTGCCATGTAGAAATATCATTTCTACCAAAAACAGTGATTGATCCGGTTAGTGATGTCTGACTGCTATTATTTTGAACACAACTGTAAATATTTTTAATGCATAGTTTTAATGGGTTTAAAATAAAAGAGAAGATATATTTGTTATACCAGAGTAATAGTGATGGTCCAGGTAAAGTCCTGTTAGTGTCTTCTCTGATAGGACTTTTTCTACAATGCTATAAAAATAGGAAGCCTTCCACTGATCAAAATCACATCAAAGTGGAGCTCCACCCAAAAGGGGAAGTTCCGCTCCCCATTAAGGATTGGCATTTTGAGGAGCAGGGGGGAGCAGGTACCCAAAATTGACAGGTACCCCCTCCCACTGCAATCGCTTAGGCCAGGGGTAGGCAACCCGAGAGCCGCAGGACTACAAGTTCCATCATCCCTCTGCAAGTCATAGCTGTAACTGTCAGTTTTGTAATCTTTGCAATACCTCATGGGAAATGTAGTTCCACAACAGCTAGAGAGCCACAGGTTGCCTACCCCTGGCCTAGGCGATTGGAAGCGGAATTTGTCCTCCTACCCTCCCTCCCCGTAGTCTTGTGGGACACGTGACAGGTCCCAGAAGACGACAGGGCCATTCAGGAAGCGCAACGCTACTCGCGCATGCGTAGTGAACACCCGCAAGCTGTCACAGCCAGGTGCCCACACTGAAGATGCCGGCGCCTGGAATACACCGCGGGATCGTGGGACAGGTGAGTGGCTGTTTTTTTTGTTTTTGTTTTTTTAAAGTCAGCAGCTAGTTTTTGTAGCTGCTGACTTTTATTTTTTTACAGTGTGAGTGGAACTCCACTTTAAAATTCACTTCTACAAATATGCATCTCTGTGTGAAGGTGGCCATTTTGGGAGAGGACAGGGTTCCACTTCATATCAGAGCTGCCCCCCCCCCCCCCCCCCCCCCCCCCCCCCCCCCATTAAACACCCAAAGACTGGTAATCTGAGGACTGGTGGAGTAATGGTGAAGCAGCGACAGAATAGATGGAGGAAACACAAATCTCCAGAACGAATGAAGCAGCAGTGGGGAGATTCTTGCACTACAGGTCCTCAGGTACAGCTTCCTCTCCAGCACGGAGAACAATGATCAGCACAGTTGTGACATCTAATATAACCCACCCATTTATGCATGATGGACAACATATATGAAGTTGCTTATAACTGCTATTTTGTCATTAGCCCATATCAATAGGAATCACATGAGGACATTTGTTGTTTTGCACATTATTTATATGCTTTTATGCGGATTGTTCGCCCCCCACTGTATGAATAAGTAGCGCAGCACTTTTTTTATTTATGCGGATTGTTCCATTATTTATGTTTTTATAATGCGGATTGTTCCCCACTGTATGAATAAGTAGCGCAGCACTTTTTGCCCATTATTTATGTTTTTATGCGGATTGTTCCCCACTGTATGAATAAGTAGCGCAGCAATTTTTGCACGATTTTCCCCATATTTTTTATATGTTGATTGTTCCCCACTGTATGAATAAGTAGCGCAGCACTTTTTTGCCCATTATTTATGTTTTTTATGCGGATTGTTCCCCCGCTGTATGAATAAGTAGCGCAGCACTTTTTGCACATTATTTATATGTTTTATGCTGATTGTTCCCCACTGTATGAATAAGTGGCACCGCACTTTTTGCACTTTATATGCTTTTTATGCTGATTGTTCGCCCACTGTATGAATAAGTAGCGCAGCACTTTTTGCACATTATTTATATGCTTTTATGCTGATTGTTTGCTCACTGTAATAAGGTAGCGCAGCACTTTTTGCACTTTATGTTTTTTATGCTGATTGTTCGCCCACTGTATGAATAAGTAGCGCAGCACTTTTTGCACGATTTATATGTTCTTTATGCTGATTGTTCCCCACTGTATGAATAAGTAGCGCAGCACTTTTTGCACATTATTTATATGTTTTTTATGTTGATTGTTCTCCCACTGTATGAATAAGTAGCGCAGCCCCATTTCCTATATACAATTTCCTTCAGTAATGGATGTCTACCATCTACCCAGCACCGCCCAGAGTATGTATTATACCCACCCGCCACCTAAGGGCCTATTCACACCAGAAACTGCAAGTAACTGCGCATTTTGTTCCTTGTAGCCATGCATGCAGTTGATGTGCGTTTTTTCTATCTAGGTCACTTCCTTCGTTCTTTTCGGCTTCTATGTGATGCATTGCAGTGCAGAAAAATGCAGCCTGCTGTACTTTTCTGCACTGTGTTGCACAGTACTGAAATGGTGTGAACTAGGCCCATAGGATAGCCTGGATTTTGGACTGTCTATGGCTGC